CTCACACACACACACACACACACACACACACACACACACACTGACACAGATCTGGCCATCGTTCACCTAGATTGCCATCAGTCTGCTAACGGTCAAGGCCTATCGTTCCCGTCAACACAACCGCCCAAACAAACAGCGTGTCACGACCACCACCACCACTGCCACTAGCCTACCACTAGTACAAGTTTTAATGTTCCTGCGTCTTCTCACACGATTAAAACAGGGGCGTTATCAAGCCCGCTCGCCATAAAACTCTTCCCAGATCTAACATTATACAGCTGAACCTGCTATAGCGGCCACTCGTCCAAGACAGTGACCTGTAGAAACGACCACGATCTACTCCCCACTGTGCGTTTTTTTTCTGATATAATGAAAGTGTCCGAGGGGACTACTTGTCCAAGATGACAACTTTTCTTCTTTGACTGGGGGTAGTCGCCACTAATCGTCTTATACAGGTTTCATTTTACAGTCGAACCTGCTCTAACGGCCACCTGTATAAGACAATCACCTGTACAAATGGCTTCTTCCCACCACACCCCCAACCCCAACCCCAACCCCCCGCCCTTGCGGTTTTTTCTTTGTATCTTTTTTTTTTTTTACATCATGATGATACTGGTTAGGCCTAAGACGTTTCACCAGTCTAAGACAGTACTGCAACCAAAGATATTATACCCTACTGTAGGGTGCACTATCTTTGCTGCAACTCTTCTCCTCGACAATGGGTGGCAGTGTAAGACAATCCCAACTGTAATCTTCTCCTCTTCCCATCGTTCATATGGCCGTGTTTGTTTTGTTGTTTAAGGTAACGCACACTCGTCGTCTCCTTCCCGGGGCGCCATGGCGACAGCAGCAGGCAGGCGGCGGAAAAGGTAACCCTTTGATCTCTCCGGGTCATCCATGGCCTTTCTTCTTCTTCCTTCTTAATGAACGTAGATAGAATATTCTAGCATCGTGGCAGTTTTCTCTGACCGCGGCTTGTGCTGGTAGCTTCTTCTTTGTCGCGCTGTTCTTTTCTTTTCTTTTCTTTCGTTTCGTTGTTGTTTTTTCTCAGTCTCCATCTCTGTTTTCATTTATTTGTGTTGCTGTGTTTGCAGCGAGTTTTGACTTTTTAATGTTTTTTGTTTTAAAAAAATTCTATCCCGAGGAAAAGGGCGGGCGGTGAACCAGCTTTGTGAATGCATTCTTTCCATCTTTGTTGTTTTGTTGGGGTTTTTTTGTCTCGTATTCTTCTGACGTAAATTCCAGTTCCGTTCCTCCCGATTTCTGTCTGTCTATTTGTCTGTCTGTCTGTCTGTCTGTCTGTCTGTCTGTCTGTCTGTCTGTCTGTCTGTCTGCTTGTT